AACAGTGACTAAAATTACAGATGAAAAGTTAAATGACATCAATTATTTTACCATAATATAACTGTGAGGCCACTTGAAAAATATTTTTCTAGAGTGACCTCTTTAAAAACCCCTCCTCCGAGACTGATCTAAATTATTATGAGGGAATGAAAGTTAATGCCCAACTTTTGATACAAATATGGAACTATGACCTGGTCAGCCTGGACATATGACTCATTGTGATTATGTTAAAGGCGTGATGGAGGAATTTGCACGCGTTTTTTTTAATAATTTGATCACCCAAAGTTACACTTCTGTCACTAGAGCTACTACTACTAAAATTACATTTCATATTCAGTTGTAGTTCTACTCAAATGAAGGCCTTTAAAACCAATGTAGACCTTCATAATTCAAGTTTTTCCTAGGCTTTTTCTCTCGTCTTATCCACGAGAAGGATATCATCAAGGAAAAGACATACACTAAGATACATCCTTCTATAAATGTCCAGTAAGACCATCCATAACTAAAGCAAAAAGATATGGGCCCCTGATGTAATCCAACAAAAAAAGAAAATATTTGGTCAATCCTCCTTCAGTTTGAACACAAGCAACAACTCTAATATACATATCTTTAATCACTTGAATATAAATCATATCAACACATTTCTTCTCAAGAACTCTCCAAAGGATATCTCCTTGAACCTTATCGTAAGCTTTTTCTAAATCAATAAATAGCAAATGTAGATCCTTCTCAATCAAACCGCTCAATAAATGTATAGCTTCCATAGTAGACCTTCCCGACATAAATCCAAAAAGATTATGAGAAATCTTTGTAATACATCTTAACCTATGTTCAATTACCCTCCCCCATAATTTTAAAGTATGACACATCAACTCCATTCCTCTATAATTTGCACTATTGTGCAACCCCTTTATTCTAAGAAATGGGGACAAAAATATTCTTCCTCCACTCATCAGACATATTTTTAGTAATTAAAGTAATATTAAAGAGTTAAATAAGCCAAGAAACTCTCAAATCTTCAAAATATATCCACACTTCAATTGGGATATCATCAGGTCCTACAGACTTTCCACTATTGATTTTCTTTAAAACCTTATCAACTTCTTTTCTACTAATATGATGATAAAAATGGGATGTCTTATTATTATTAATAATATTAAAATCACTAAGATCGATTGTATTTTCAGAAACTTTATTAAAAATTTTATCAAAATAACTCACTCATTTATGTTGAATATCTTTTTCTAAGAAAAACACTTTTGATTTTCATTTTTAATACACTTTACTTGAGTTAAATTTTTACTTTTATTTTCTCTTTGTTTGGCTAGTTCATACATATATTTTCACTCTCATTAGTATATAATCTATAATAAAGATCATTAAAACAAAAATTTTTAGCGTCACAGATTGTCTTTTATACTCTTTGTGGGTCATTTTCATATTTTTCCCAATTATCTAAACTTTTACATTTAAACAAATTTTTCGCCGCCAACTATTTTTATTTATAGAAACTTTTTCTTTTGATTCTCCAAGTATAAATTTCGCTACTTGTTTAATAGTGTTTGTTACTTTATCCCACATAATATTTACTTCTTCAAGAACATCCCAAATTTTGAAATCTTGAATTTCACACATAAAAATAATTTTATTTGTCTTTTAGATTCTCTCATCTAATTTTACGATGATGAGTCGTAGTTTTTTTATTTTACAACTCTTCATCTTAAAATTTAGAACTAATAATTGATGTTGGGTACTTAAATTTTCACTTGGAATGACCTTACAATCTTTACAATCTCGCCGATATCTTCTTCTCATAAGAAAAAAATCAATGTGTTTTATTAGATCCATTCTTATAAGTAATAAATGCTCATCTCTTTTCTTGAATAAAGTATTAATAATAACAAAATCACACACTAAATCAAAATCTAAAATGTCTTTACCTACTTGATTTAATAACAAAATCACACGCTAAATCAAAATCTAAAATGTCTCTACCTTCTTGATTAGTCACTCCAAAACTGTAGCCACTATGAATATTTCTGAAATCTTCTACCAACATACCGACATGTCCAATTTAATCTCCACCAATAAAATTTTACTTAAAGAGGTATTATTTGTATTAAGTCTTCTAAGTCATTCTAGAATTTATTTTTAGACCCTATATCTAAACCTACTTGAGGAACATAAACACTTATAATATTAAAAATCTTAGTATCAATAAAATTCTTAAGGGCAATAATTCTATCTCCAACTCTATTAATTTTTACAACATTATTTTTCAAACTCTTATCTATAATTACACCTACATCATTTCTAGTGCGACTTTTACCAGAATACCAAAGTTTAAAAATCGAAGTTATCAATCTCTTTTGTCTCTTCTTCAACCCATTTAGTTTATTAAATACATAAGATATTGATCTTTCTAAGAATCATAATATCAACTAATTCCATTAATTTACAATTGAGAGAACTTATATTCCAATGCCACTATTAATGCTAAAAAAATTATACCCTCAAATTCAGCAAATTATCACATTTAAATTGTGAGTCGAGTCAATTTGCTAAACATCATCATTTGTCTTTTGTTCCCATAACTAATAAAAGACCAAATCAAAACTTTGAGTTGATTCATTATGATGATGGGGACCTTCCCCTATTTACCTAATGAATTTTGATATTTTATCACTTTTATCTATGATTATTCCAATATAATTGTCTTACTTTATACACCCCGAATTTCAACAATTATCACCTTTAGATTATGAGTTGTTTCAACTTGCTAAACGTCATTGTTTGTCTTTTGTTCCCAGAATTAACAAAAAAATTGATCATAACTTTGAGTGAATTCATTATGATGATGGGGACCTTATCCTATTTTATTTAATGATTTTTGATATTTTCACTTTTGTTGATGATTTTTATCATAAGACTTTGCTTTATTTTATGAAATTTTGTACTAAGTTGTTGTCTCATTTTCATTCATTATACTAAAATTAGAATTCAATTCAATATTTATGTTAAATATCTGAGAAGTGACAATGCCAAAAAATATTTTTTCTGCACATACTCAAACGTATGTCATACAAAAAGGAATATTTCACCAATTATCCTATGTTGATATTCCATTCCAAAATAAAGTAACTAAGAAAATAAATAAACATTTTTTGAGACAGTTAGAACTCTTTTGTTTCGAACTAATGTACCCAAACAGTTGTGAATTGATGAAATTTCTACCACAAGCTTTTTGATCAATCATATGCCTTTTATTGTTTTAGTGTAATTATTTTGTTAGTGATACTCTTCCACTGGTCTCTAAATTGGACCACAAGTCATTAAGGTGCATCTTTTAGAATAATCTCGTTTGCAAAAATACATCAATAATTTTCCCCTCTTAAAGATGTACATGGTCTCTATTGATGTCACTTTTTATGAATAAATGTCATTCTTTAATAACTCATTGTTGTATGAACCTACAACATTCTGATGAGTTGTTAATGCATCACATCATTAGTTCAAATCCACTTCCACCACCAATCCCACAGCTTAGACCACTTATCACTAATGTTTACTCGAGAAGTCCCCATCCTCCTAATCCTAGTCCAGCACTCGTATCATCTTCTTCGGTAGATCCTCTTCCCAGTGGCCTTGATTTACTTATTGTCTTCGAAGAGATAAATGCCAAAGCGCTTATCTCATTTCCTCGTGTGTTAACTATAAGCAGTTATCATCTATTTTCAGCCCTTTTATTACTTCTGACTTTGTTAAGGTCCCAAAATTTGTTCAGCAAGCCTTATCCAATTTTGACTGGCAGATAGTGACGCTTGATAAAATAAATGCCTTAACTTTAAATGGAATTTGGGAACAATTAAACTACCTCTTGACAAGAAGATTGTTGGAAGTTAATGGGTCTTTGCAGTTAAGTTTCATTCTGAAGGATTTGTAGCTCGTCTCAAAAGATCGGTTGATTGTAAGGTTTATATTCAAACTATGGGTTGATTGCTTGGACACATTCTCTTCAATAACTAAATTAACTTCAGTTCGCCTATTATTGTCGTTGTGGGCAATAAATAATTAACACTTGCACCAGCTTGAAATAAAGAATATATTTCTGCATGATGATCTGTTAGAAGAAGTTTATATGGAGCAACATCCTGAATTTATTGCTCGGGAAGAGTCTGGGAATATATGTTGTATTTTAGGTCATTATATGTACTTAAGCAAAGTCCACGAGCATGGTTTAGAGAAGTTAGCCAAGCATTAGAAGAGATTGAAATGTAGAAAGTTAAAAGTATCACATTGCATTCTACAAGCAAACAGCCTCTGGGATAATTCTATTAGTAATTTATGATGATGACATTATTATTGTTACTGAAAGTGATATGCGACGAATCTTATCAGCGAAATTATTTCTCCAAAATCATTTCCAACACTAAACATATTTTTTATTTGTTAAGTATTTTAAAAATAGAAGTGTTCCTCCAAAAACTAAAAAACAGATAAGCAAACACTGTTTTTTTTCCCTACTTTTTGTATTCAAATATAAAAAACAAAAAAACAAAAAGTGGATCCGAAAATGCCACTTAATATTAGATAATCTAATTAGAGATCTAATTACATGTTCTTTTCTATATTAGAAATATTTTTAATTTATAAAGATGGGAATATATATAAATATGTAACATATATTTTCAATCGAGAAATAAGAGAAAGAGTTGCTTCCCATTACATCAACGATCAAAATTTAATAAATGAAAAAAAAAACCATCGAGGAAACATCCCATTCTCTAAATCCACAACCAAAAGGCCAAGTTTGATACTAAAAAATCAATTGAAAACAATGGGGAATATACTTGTTTGGCGAAGTAGAAGATATCAATCCCTTGAAAAGAAGCACCGGTAGGAAAGAGTTATTTAATAAATCCACATTTGAAACTTATGTGATAAAGAAGCTATCAAATGGCTAAAAAGAATAGAATTGTGTCAAAGCCCTATTGATTTACCTTGTCATTTTCATCTTTCTCAAGTTTTGTGTTCATGACAATTACCATAGGAGGCCACACAATCTCACGATCAGTTGTTGACTCACGCAGGCCCTTCCACTTACCAAATACTTCACCAGCTTGAATCACTGAAGTTCCCCTCCTACGAAGCTCTTCATCCAAAAGTTGAGCAAGCTCCCGATGAAGCAAAGGTCTTGTTGATCTTTTTGTCTTTGCATGCGTCATCAAGGGTTGGAGGCCATCATACCAATCAATTGCGCCTGGGCCATTATGGCATGCTGGGCAGTGCCATTGCCTGGTTGGTTCACCCATTTCATCCACTGACAGTTTATCCAAATTTTCAAAGAATCCCTTAAACCACTTATTCATTTTTCGAGTCTCGTGACTCCTTTGGCTAGCATCAGAATCATAATCATCAGAAAACTCATCTTCACTTCCATCCACCAAAGCAGCATCATCATCATCGTCTGAAAAACCTTCAGGTTGATTGTTAGTAGGGTCAACAACAGAACTTGTGGAGATGTTCTCATTCTTTTGAGGAGCAGATCCCCCTCTTGCACCCCACTGCCAGCCATGTTGCAAAGGTGGAGGTACCGTAGGAGAATGCAGAGTCGTAGAAGCAGTTACACAATTTCTAATCCCTGATTGTTGCTTTGGATTCCACTTGCCAACTGCTGCTTGGGAATCAGCAATATCGGCCCAACTAGTAGAAGATTTCACATTTCCATGCTGAACCCATGTTTTAGGAACAGAACTTGAACTCCCTTGCTTCCCAGTAACAGCACCAACTTTATTCTTCTTTTTTCCACTTACTTCCCATTTGTCATTCTCTGCAGGATCTGTGGTCAATTTTCCCATGTCACTAGTAGATTGTTCAAGTTTAGGATAGCTGCTAACAGAACCGGATGCTTGAAAGTAGTTTGCTTTCTTAAAAGAAGTACCAGCAGCTGAAGGAGATTTGCCACCAACCTTCTTTGAATTCATTCTGCAAGATATTTAGTCAGTAGCATTCCGCAATCAAGTGTACCATAGCCTAAAAAGGGAGCTATACTAAAGTTACAATGTAAACTAAGAAATTCTTTTGAACGTCAGAAAGTAGAATTGCATTTTTATTCATACAAGAACCAAAACAGAAAGAAAATTCCAACGTAAGCATGCAACTTCATGCTTACATTTGACTAAAACAAGCCACAATAAGTATGACTTATGGTTTTATTTTTTCCAAGCGAACTATCAGGTAATTTTTCAAGAGACTAAGGTGGCTTGCGCATTCCACAACAAAGAAAATTTTACAAACTACTTAATGGATGATTAGACCATTCCACCTTCCCAGGAAGCAAAAGGTACAGTAGTATGAACTAAATAATAACAGCTTATGAACCAAAATAACCAGTGAACAAACGAAAGAATGTGCAAGGAGAATAGCGGTAGAGAGGCACAAATGAAAGATTATGCAGGGAGAATTGTTGTGAAACAAAACAAAGTTAAGACAGGGTCATGTGGAACGGCAGCCCCCTCTAGAGTATCTCTGAATTTTTTTTTAGGTTCTGCTATGGTGTGGTTTTCTACCTGCAACTTGGGATTTCTATTGGAGCGGTTCATGTTTGAACCCTTCAAGTGGCAATTTTGTGAAATTTCAGGCATACAAAACATGTTATCCGGCTAATTTAATTTTTTTTTTACTGTGGATTTTGGTGAAGTTTGAACTTAATGACTATCTCAAATAAATTAGACTGATTTTGAGAATCCGCAAAAGGAAACTATTAAAGAGAGCCAATCGAATCTACTAATATATGGATGAAAAGTCCATAAATAGAGATTTCAAGGTTTAGAGATAAACCAAGCTGACTTTGCGCCAATCAAATCTAATAATTGGAGATTTTTTATAAAATAAAATTTTCCTCTAGGTTTTGGCTACATTTGTGCAACTTAGATGCATGCTCTCTTTGTGAGCAATTTAAGTATGCCAAATTAATTTTGGAGAAAGACAACTCCAAGAATTGGCAATGAAGCCTAATTTCATAAATTTTATAAATTCCCTCGTTGACACAATTTTCTCCATATATTTTGTTAGTGTACCAATTTAATTTTGGAGAAAGACAACTCCAAGCATTGGCAATGAAACCTAATTTTCTTAATTCAATAAATTTCTACCTTGACACAATTTTCTCTATATATTTTGTTAGTGGTTTTCATATGCTCCTAAGTTTATACAAATTAGACATTGTTGACCTCCATATATATTTTGCAAGTCAACTCGATCCAAAAAGATGAAAATAGTGGACAACAAATAAAGCATTACACAAACAGAGATTGATGCACATGTAAAAAGAATTGAACAAATCTTCAGCCATTCTGAAATATAAACGTCACCGACAACACTGAAAGATCGCAATCGCCTCCTAAATTAAATTTAAGGAATTGCTATGAGAAAAAAAAAATAATAGAGCCAGAGATGAAATATTTTGGTGATTTGCAAAAGCAAGAGAAAGAAAAAAAGTTATCAATGTGGAATATAAACTCAATAACTTTATTTAATGAAATTGGGCAAGTTAAAATACATCTATATAATAATAGATAAGTGTACGCGAAATTGTTATATATATATATATATATATTTTTTTTTTCGATTTTTTTTTTTTTCGATTCGCGATATCTCAGTCTCTGCTGCTAGGGTTTGCGTTTCTATGGCGATTTTGGGGGTCCTTCGTTCTTGTGGGTTTACCGCCGTCACGGCTGGCGGCCGTGGTGAGGTGAGTCGGAGGCCTCGCTCTTACGCCAACGTCACCGCTGATGGTGTTCCAAACTTCCCCTCTGTTTTCTACGAAAATCTCGAGCTCGATTTTGTCTCCTCTTTTGTTCGTCGCCCCGGCCGGAAAGGGGGAAAGGGAAAGCTTGCTCTCTTCCTCTCTCACTGATGCTGAGAATGTTGAACTTGCCTCTTCTTGTCATTTACATCTGGTCGGAAAGTTCATTTATCGTATTCCTAAGCTAGATTTTCTTAGACAACACTTTGAGCAAATGAAGCTCACGGGAGAGTAGAAAATTGGTCTGTTGAATGGAAGACACATTTTGATTCAGTTAGCAAACAAGGAAGATTATACTCCGTTGTTTGTTAGGCGTATGGTTTGGTTTGAGAACGTTGGGATGAAGGTGCTAAAATGGTCTTCTAGTTTTGACCCTCAGGCAGAGGCTCCTGTCAACCCTGTCCGGATCAGGTTCCCTTATATGAAAGTTCATCTTTTTAATCATGAGGTTCTTTTCTCTATAGTGGCTATGTTTGGGAGACCGCTGAAATTAGATGCTCCTATGTATAAGCTTACGCGACCGTCCTTGGCTAGAGTTCTGATCGAAAGGGATGTCACTTTACCTCCTCCGGATGAGGTCTGGATCGGTTCGGAGCATATAAGTTACTGGCAGAAGGTAAGTTTAAAGCAACACCCTTCCTATTGTAAACATTGTCAGATGTTTGGACATGATCAAGAGCATTGTTTCAAGTTTAATCCTGATTTAAGGAAAAGGGAGAGATTCAGCCGAGGGGCCTGATGGTGCGGCTGCTAGGTCTGTACCAGTTGATGCCCCCCCCCCCCCCCCCCCCCCCCCCCCCCCCACGTGAGAGGGGGGGGGGGGTGTGTTTCCCTTATGCATGTGACAAAGGGTAGGATTGATGTCCTGACTCTGCTCCCTCCAATCCTCCTATCACTACTCCTATAACTGTTTCGAATACTGAGGGTTCATTGTTTCTAATGGTATTGCACCTAGTGAGACTAATACGCAGGTTTTTAATGGTCTGGCGCTTCCTATTATTCCTATTTCCTCCCCTCCTCTTAATTCGATGGCTGCCAGTAATCAAGATGGTGTTTCTGTACAATATTCTGTTATCCCGGCTAGGGATGAAGGTACGGTTTTGGCTGATGATTTGGCTACAGGTATGGTTTTTGGGCAGGATCCTGTTATCCTGGTTTGTGATGAAGGGGCGCGCCCATCCTTGCCATCCCTCTCTGATGCCCACAATATGGAAAACATATCTCTCATTTCTAATCTCAATGATAATCTCTTAGAACTCCCTTTAGATGATATTTCAAAAATTTTGAGGGATGAATGACATGTACAAAAATATCACAGAAGGAAAAATAAGTCTCATAAGGAGATTCAAAATTTTTGCAGTAGGAGTAATGGGTTAGATAATAATCAATTTTTCTCTTATGATGAAAATGGACGATCCCGACCTAGATACTCTAGGAAGGGTAATTTGTCTTTTTATGTTTAATATTCTTATCTTGAATATCAGGGAAATTGCGGATCCTCAATCTCTTGGTAGACATAAACTTTTGTCTAGGATTCATAAGGTGGATATGCTTGCTATTTTGGAACCCTTGGTCGCCTCCCCGGATGATCGTATTTTGGGTAAATTCAAAAACTTCAATTTTTTTGCTAATTGTTCTAACAAAATCTGGTTGTTTTGGAGAAAGCATGTTACAGTTGACATCATTACGGATGACAGACAGTTTGTTCATACCAATTTCAATATGGATATGTTCTCTGGCTTTCTTAACTTTGCTTATGTTGGGACTTCTAATGTTGCAAGAGCTGACCTCTGGCACAAGCTTGTTGTTATGGGAACTTCTATCAATCAAAACTTGATGGTTGGTGGTGATTTCAACATGGTGATGCATGAGCCTGAGAAGCTTGGTGGCAGAAGATTTGATTTCACTTTAACTAATAATTTTAATGAGTCTATGGCTCTTGTTGGTATCTCGGATTTGGGGTTTATAGGCTCTAAATTTACTTGGAAGAGGGGCAAGCTCTTTGAAAGACTTGATAGATGCCTTGTTAATCAGCAGTGGAACACCTCTTATGATTTCTCTCAAGTGCAGTACCTTTCCAAAATAGGATCGGATCACAGTCCTATTCTCTTATCATTTGATTTTTATAAAAAGCCCTCTATCTACCACCTTCAGTTTTTAAATGTCTGGGCTAGACATAATGATTTCTTGAGATTTGTTGCGGCTAACTGGATTTTTTAGGAGAGGGGTAACGTTTGGTATGTTCTTTGGAAACTTCACAAGAGGGTTGCGACTGTTTTGAGATCTTGGAATTGGGATGTTTTTGGAGACGTTGATGCTAGAGTTAAAAAAGTTGAACAAAGGGTAAGTAATCTTCAAGCTCTTGATGATAACACCATTGACATTATTCACAAGTTAGAGGATGCTAATAAAGAACTTCTTGAGGCTTCTCTTTGGGAGGAGTTGCTTCAACAAAAGGCGAGGGAAACTCACTTTACTCAAGGTGATAGAAATACTAAGTATTTTCATGATTGTATCAAACAAAGAAGAGCTAATAACATCGTTATGAGAATTAAAAACAATGAGGGGCATTGGATTACTGAGATGAGGAAATTGGGGGAGAATGTTGTGTCACACTTTGCTAAACTTTTTGAGTTTCATGAGACGACGGACGATATTGATGTCTCTTTGTTTGAAGATGTGAGACATCATATGGTGCATATGGATCTTTGTGTTATTCCTACGATTGAGGAGATTTATTCCACTCTCCTTGAGATTAATTATAATAAGGCCCCAGGGCCTGATGGCTTTACTTCTGCTTTCTATATTACTTGTTGAAATATTGTTAAGGATCATGTTGTGGCAGCCATACAAAGTTTCTTTAAAGGGGAAATGCCTGGAAATTATTTTTCGGCTGCAACTATTGTCTTTATTCCTAAGAACAATCAGAAGAGCTCTTGGGATCATTTTAGGTCTATTTCCATCACCTCTGTGATTTCTAAGTTGATTAGTAAGATTTTGGTCATTCGCCTTCAACCTCATCTTCACAAGTTAATCTCCTTGAATCAGTCTACTTTTATTCAAGGGAGGGGGATTACTGATAATATTATGCTGGCTCAGGAACTCCCTCTTGACCTTGATAAAAAGTGTAGAGGGGCCAACATGATTACTAAACTGGATATTCGGAAGGCCTATGATTCGGTTAGTTGGGATTTCATATTGAAGATTCTCCATACTCGTGGCTTCTCTCAAGAGATCTGCAATATTATAAAATCCTGGTTTAATTGTAATAAGTATAGCATCTCATCAATGGCAATTCTCGGGATTTTTTCAGTGCGGGCCATGGGATTAAGCAGGGAGATCATTTATCCCTCACTATTTTCATTTTAATTTTTTATTATCTCTCCCGTCTTCTTAACAATATTTTCAGGAGAAACTTCAAGCTGCATTATTCTCACAAATCTAATATGTTGGTGTCTCACTTGGCCTATGCTGATGATATGATCATCTTTTCTAATGCAAGCAAGAATTCAGTGAAGGTGATTCATAATGCCATGATTGATTTTCAACTTATCTCGGGTCTTTCATTCAATACTAGTAAATGTAATATCTTTTTGGGGAAAACGATAAATCGCTCTAATGCCTCTTGGATTGCTAACTATACGGGTTTCTCCCCCTTTAATCTCCCACTCAAATATCTGGGAGTTTTCATCCTCAAAGGCAGGAAGAGAAATATTCAGTTTGACGAGGTTGTGGAGAAGATTCGAAAAAGAATCATGGACTGGAAAAATAACTTCCTCACTTTTGGGGGTCATATTACTTTGTTGAGAAGTATTTTTGGGTCTCTTCCTTTATATATATTTCAGGTTCTTCAACCCAAAACGAGTACTATCTTGTCTCTTGAAAGATGTTTCAATAAGTTATTATGGGTTGGAAATCACTCTGGTAGAAGATGGTTACCTTGGAAAGATGTTTGCCTTGGAAAGATGTTTGTTTGTAAACTCATAAGCGTTGGTGGTTTGGGTTTCAAATTATTGAATCACTTGGTTGATATTAATGTCTTCAAACAATAGTTTAATTTTAGAAAGAATGATTCGTTATGGGTCAATTTTATGCATGGGAAGTATTGTCGTTTCTCTCACCCTGCTTCGACTAATTGGCGGTTGGGTAACTCCACAATGTGGAAGAGTGCTGAAGATTAGAGATTGGGCGAGGGATTTTATTTATTGGGAGGTAGGTGGAGGTAACCTCTCCTTTTGGCAAGATTGTTGGTCTCATGCTTTGTTGAACATGAGGGATTTGCGGTTTCCTAATCTCAAGGTCTCCGATGTTTGGGTTGATGGTCATTGGAATCTTCCTGAATCTTCCTCCATATTGCGTTTGGAGGGAGCTAATTTTATTTCTATGATCCCTTTTGATCCTCTCTTGCATGACACTCCTCATTTGAAATTGCCTATGACGAATTCTATTACTAAATCCTTATATGTTGCTCGCCACAACTTTCAAAAGACCTCTTGGGGAGAAGGGGTATGGAGTAGGGCCTTAACCCCGTCTATGTCCTTCTAGCCTGGCGGATATTTCACTCGATTATTACTTCTGATGACATTCTTAAGATGAAAAGTTTGAGAATTGCTTCCAGGTGTTGTTTTTGTTTGATGGAGGAGTCAATTGAAAGTATCTTTTTCTCGTGCCCCTATGCTTTATATATTTGGGAAAAGGCTGGAACGTGATTTGGCACTTGTCTTTCCCCTGAGAAGAATCTTTCTGTCACCACCTTGAGTTGCAACCCGGATGGTAAGAAAAAACACTTCTGGCAAATATATCCTTATATCATTTGTTGGTTTATCTGGATGGCTAGGAATGATATTATTCATGAGGGCAAGGAGATTCATAAAATGATGGTTTTCACTAACATCATTTCTTACATTAATAAGCTATGGAGGCTTGGTAATTCCAAACAAGGTTTCTTCTCAGGTATTAATTATTTCCTGGTATTGGGGAATATGAATGTGGCTGTTAGAAGAGTCTCGCGTCCTCCTATTTTGGTCAATTGGACTCCACCCCCTAGAGGTTGGATTAAATTTAACATTGATGGGAGTTGGAAGGTTTCTAGTGTTGGGTGTGGGGGCATTGCTAGGAATCATTATGGAAAGTGTATTATTTTTTTCTCC